GGACCAGGACCAGGACCAGGACCAGGATCAGGACCAGGACCAGATCTGGACCAGGACCAGATCTGGACCAGGACCAGGACCAGGACCAGGATCAGGACCAGGACCAGATCTGGACCAGGACCAGATCTGGACCAGGACCAGGACCAGGATCAGATCTGGACCAGGACCAGATCTGGACCAGGACCAGATCTGGACCAGGACCAGGACCAGGACCAGGATCAGGACCAGGACCAGATCTGGACCAGGACCAGATCTGGACCAGGACCAGGATCAGAACCAGAACCAGGATCAGGATCAGAACCAGATCTGGACCAGGACCAGGACCAGAACCAGGACCAGGACCAGGATCAGATCTGGACCAGGACCAGAACCAGAACCAGGATCAGGATCAGGATCAGAACCAGATCTGGACCAGGACCAGAACCAGAACCAGGATCAGTATCAGAACCAGATCTGGACCAGGACCAGAACCAGAACCAGGATCAGGATCAGAACCAGATCTGGACCAGGACCAGGACCAGAACCAGAACCAGGATCAGTATCAGAACCAGATCTGGACCAGGACCAAACCCAGACACTACGAATCGTTCTCAGCTTAGAATCGCAGCAAACGATTCAATCAGCTTCATGTTTTCTCTCGTTCTTTTCTAATTGTTAAAATCTAATAAAATAACCAAACATGTTAATTTGTGTCAGTTTGTTGTCGGGTAATGAAAATAATCTTGACTGTTTCCTCCTTGTTCTAAGTTTGTAAACCTGCATTTTATCCACAATAAACTTCCACCCTAAATTTATTTCAGATTATCTGACGGCGCAAAACCAATTTAAACAATTCAGATTCTCAGAAATTAAAGTCAAATTTGGACAAAAAGTTAATATTTTTCTTCTTCTAAAGGCTTTAATCACCCACTGACCCCACAGAAACACTGGTTTTACTTGGATTAGGACAGTCGGGTTGCGTTGGGCCTCATTAACGGATCAGACGGCAGGAACCAGGAAGCAGAAACGTTCCGACGTCTTGGTTTGATTCATGCGAGGGAAACTGTCTCAGTCTTCATGTCCTGACAAAGAGCTGCAGGCGGATCCACTCTGAACCTCCCGCCTCCTCCCCTGTCTGAGGTCAAAGGTCAACCTACAGTTTTAACACAAAGATCCACATTCTGCTGGAAGAAATTCAACCCAGAGTTAAGTTCAGATAAAACCAGAGTAACTAGTTACATTTACTGGAGCAACTTCCTGGAAAAAAAACCTTTCCAGTATTTTAAGACACATTTTACTTTTACTTCAGTAATTTTTCATTTAGTACTGCTACTCCTGTAAACTTGGTTTTTGAGATTAATCTTAAAATTTCTAGAAAAAACTTGAACATTTCTGGTTGTTTTTGTTTTTTTTTTTCCTGGAAAATTTCTGAAATTAATGTAAAAATGTCTGAGTTTAAGCAGAAATGTACTCCTTTCTCTCTGGCCCTTCTGCGCCGTGGAGACTTTATGTCAGTAAAAGTCTGTTGGCTCTGGAGCTTCTCTGGGACCTTCCCCCGGATAAACCAGCGCTGGGCTCCTCTAACTGCCCCTCGTTGCCCCAGCAGCGCAGTAACTGCCCCTCGTTGCCCCAGCAGCGCAGTAACTGCCAGGCTGCCATGATTTCTGCTGCTGAATGATGACGGAACTAAACACACATTTCACAGCGGCGCACATTCACGGACAGGCGGGCAACAGATGAGAGGAGGAAGGAAGGCTGCTGAACGAAACAAAGGAAGGAGGAGAGCAGGAGCTGCAGATGAATAATGGACAGAGTGTTTACTGCCGGAGTTACTCTCCGTTTGGAGCATTTAATCAATAAGGCTGTTTCTGTGTCCGAGCTCTGCCAGGGTTGGATTCATTAGCTTATCAAGATGATGAACATCTACAAACTGACCGTCTGTGGTTCACCTGCGGAGCAGGAGACGGTCCTTCCTGTCAGCAACCCTTTAGGAAAGAGGCTTTAAGGAGCTGCTGCTTGTTCCGGTACAGTCGCATTTAAAAGCATTAAGTCGGGTTAATTAGCCTTTCATAAGAAAAACACGCCATATTTTCACAATGTTACTAACTCATTTATAAATTACACAATTTCATGCTAAATATTTATGTGGTAAACTAAACATTTAGCACCAATGTTCAAAAGACCCTTATATATAGTTTAAGTTTGGTGTTGAGTATTACTCTTTGTATTATGTGTTTTCTGTTCAGCGTTACTTTTGTCCCTTAAGGGATACCGTAGTTAGGGCAGTGATGACGTCAACACCTTGCCGTAGCCAACGTTGCTGGTATCTGGTGGGGAAGTTTGGGTAACCGAGCCGCTGTGCTAACACGTGGGAAAGACCACAAGATATGTGTTCTCCTTAAGAGTGTGTTGTAGAGTAAGTTGTAATATTTGAGTGTTTACTGCAGCTAAATGAGTGATTTGAAGTTTATTTGTTTGCTATTATTTCACCTGTTGCTAAGTCCGAGCTATATGCTACGTGTGTATTGTAGAGCATTGTGTCGAACATGCATGTCTATTCTCAGTGGAGCAGAGGCATGGTTATTAGTTAACTGTGGAGTTAACTTGCCTAAGTTTGCTTAGTAATATTGACTTAGAGGTTTCCTTCTTAGTTTATCGAAGGTATAATAGCATGGTGTAATGATAGGACACCTTGAACTTATTTTCTGTATTTTTGTTTATTCTAGGAAACCACACACTCCTTCATGTAGACACATTTATGCCCATCCGTGTTCAGTGGATTATCTGTGATACAGTTTGGAATACAGAACAGTTAAAGGATCCTGCCTCGTGTCTTCATTAAACATCTGGTGCACCTCATCCAAACATCTGGTCCTGAGCTAAATCCTGGCCTGAGTGGTGTTCTGGCCAACACTCCAGGTTGAGAGCGGTGACAAACCTGAACAGTGCCCAACAGTCCTTCAACTTTAGAACAAACTCACTTACATTAATGGTCCTTCGAGCCGGATTCACTGCCTTACCCTAGTAAAGATGGATGAAAATCAGGACTTCAGAAGTGGTGCACGTCCTAAACGCCAGATTCGTCTCCCACAACGTTATGAAGATTACGAGCTTGATTTCAATGGTCTCAACTCTTACCAACACAGAGTGGAGAGAGGAAGGATGGCTACACAGGAGGGACTGGCCGAGAAGACCCCCCTCACCTCGCCATATGCTTCCCCAACAGCTGCTGAGGCATCGGTTCTCAGCGAACCTATAACACATTATGCAGTAGGGAGTCTGCTACGGTTCAAAGAGGAGCAATTAGCCCAATCGCTAGTCCCTGATGAAAGGCCAGCAAGGATATGGAGACATTCTACCCCCCCCAGTTCTTTACCTCCCACCTCGAATGAAGCTATGGCTCTAAGATCAGAGTTAGAAGAGCTCCAGCATGAAAGGTTCCTCCTTCAGCAGTCACAGCAGCGCATTTCAGCAGACCTGGCACATTTAAGAGCTATACAGACTGACATGTTACAAATAATGAATGTTGCCCATGAAGCTCAGCAGGAACAGCTTAAAGGAGCAGTATGCTTCCAGCCTTCTGACCCACCTGTTAATAATGAGGATGAGGAGTGGCCACCGCCACCACCACCAGCTTGGATGACTGAGGATGAGGAGGAAACACCAGTCCTGGAGCGCCTGGACAAAATGATGAGTGAGCTTCAGATTTTGAAAGGTGAGGCTTTGCTAACCAAACGCAATCAGTCATCAGCTCAACCAGCAACACAAATGGCCTCAGGTTATCAACAGACAAGGAACAACTATCAAACCAGCAGTCAGGTTCCTCTAGTAAACCCACTGCAGTATGGATCAACACATCCTTCAGCTACCACTCCAAGATTTAGCTCCACAACCAATTACAGGCCCATGAGCATTCAGGCTGCTCCCCCTCAGCAACCAATTCAGCAAGCACCTCTTCCGCAGACTCCTCGTGCCCCCCAAACAACCTCTCCAAATCCTGGGCCACCCTATCAAAGTTTCAGCTCAGATACAGCCTATCATGGTCCTCGTCCAACCATCCCTAACCTATTTCACAGAGACCCTGGTGAGTTTGCCCACCTGAAGATGGCTCTGGAGAACTTACTACCACCTGACAGTCCAGAGCTCTTCAAATATCAAGTTTTAGTGGACCATCTAAAGTTGGAGGATGCCAGATTGGTAGCGGAAGCTTACCTTCACTCTCCAACCCCATTTACAGATACCATGATGGCCTTAAATGAGAAGTTTGGACAGCCTCACCAACTGGCCCTGAGGAGGATTGCCGCTGTGATGGACTCACCTGACATCCGGCGTGGTGATGTTGTCGCCTTTGAGAAATTTTCTCTCCAGATTCAGTCACTGGTTGGCATGCTGAAGACGCTCGGTCCTGAGGGAGAGGTGGAGCTATACTGTGGCTCACATGTTGCTCGCCTGCTTAGTAAGCTACCCCCTGAGCAGCGAGCGGAATTCCGCAGATGCATGTTTAAGCAGTCTGGACGTAACCACACCCTTATTGATTTGTCGGACTGGTTAAAATATGAGTCTTGGTGTCAAGATTATGATGGCCAACTACCTGCCAGAGGACTAAGAGAGAAACCAAGCAGCCTGAAAGGAGAAGGAAGATTTGGGAAACGGTCAGTTGCTGTGCTCCATGGTGCGGACAGCTTATCTCAAAGCATTAAACCACCAAGTAATTCACTGAATAAAGCCAAGCCACCCCCTTATTGTGCCTTTTGTGACGTTAAAGAGCACCATTTGAGTCAATGTGCAGCCATAAGTCAACTGACAAAGGAACAGCTGGCAAATTGGATAAGGACCAACAAAAGATGTTGGCGCTGTGCACGTGCACATCATGCTGCACAGTGTAACCTGAAGAAGTCTTGTAACCTGTGCCGGGGCCGACACTTACAAGTTCTTCATGATGTCAACACAGGGCCATCAAAGGGGCCATTACCAGCATCACCCAGCCAAGAGAGAAGTGAGAATCCAACAGGGGTGTTGTATCTCGATCGACCAACAGAGGGCAGCCGAGTTCTGTTGAAAGTAGTTCCTGTTCTCCTTCGTCATGGTGTCAGAACTCTGGAAACCTATGCAGTCTTGGATGATGGGTCAGAAAGAAGTATGCTCCTGCCTTCAGCAGCTCAGAAACTGGGACTTCAGGGCACACCAGAGTCTTTGCCTCTACGTATCATCAGGCAGGATGTTCAGACACTTAATGGATCCTGTGTTTCCTTCACTGTATCCCCCAGAAACAGGCAGAGGACTCAATACCGCATCCATAATGCTTTCACCACTGAACGTATTGACTTAGCAGATCACACTTACCCTGTTGACTTACTCAGGAAGAAATACAAGCACTTGACTGGCTTGCCAATCCAGCCCTTTAAGAAGATAAAGCCTTTGCTCCTGATAGGTAGCGACCACCCACATCTCATTACTCCTACAGAACCTGTGCGACTTGGTCCACCAGGAGGTCCAGCTGCTGTCCGCACTAGGTTAGGTTGGACACTACAAGGTCCTTCCAGCGTCCTACACCAATTTGAAAGATCACAGCAGTGTTTAGTCACCTCCATTCCCCCTCAAGTGAGTGAGTTAATGAGACATGTGGAGAAGCTCTGGAGAGCAGATATCATCCCTCTTAGGAGTGATAAAATGGTGACACGCTCCAAGCAAGATAATCAAGCTCTGGGCCTCCTAGAGGCTAAAACAGCCCGAGTGGAAGTCGATGGCATTTTACGCTATGCCACCCCACTGCTGCGATGCAAAGACATGCCTCTCTTGCAGGCCACACCTGAGGCTGTCATGCCGAGCCTGAGAGGAGTGGAGAAAAGGCTTCACAAAGACCCAGAGAAAGCGGAGATTTACAAGGCAGAGATAAACAAACTGATAAAGGCTGGATATGTGCTGAGAGTGGAACCTAAAGAGCTGGAGAAAGGAGATGAAGTGTGGTATATTCCTCACCACCTCGTCAGCCACAATGGAAAGCATAGACTAGTATTCAACTGTTCCTTCCAGCACCGAGGTCAAACCCTGAATAATTATCTCCTTCCTGGCCCCACCCTCTGTTCCTCTCTGCTCGGGGTCCTTTTAAGGTTCCGTGAGCATGCCGTGGCGGTAAGTGGTGATATAAAGGCTATGTTCCACCAGGTCCGCTTACTACCTGAAGATCGCCCTCTTCTGCGCTTCCTGTGGCGTAACCTACAACATGAGGAACCACCTGCAGTGTACGAGTGGCAGGTATTACCCTTCGGCACCACCTGCAGCCCATGTTGTGCCACATTTGCTCTGCAACGCCATGCCAAAGACCACAGTCGGCCAGGAGAAGAGGTGAGGACTTCCATAGAGAGATGTTTTTATGTGGATAACTGTCTCCACAGTGTCCCAACAGCTGCCGAGGCCAGAGAACTAGTGGAGCAACTAAGAGCTCTACTGTCATCGGCTGGATTTCTCCTTAGGCAATGGGCCAGCAACGAGTCATGTGCCATCAGTCACCTACCAGAAGAAGATCGATCAGACAGTGCTGAGCTCTGGCTAGCAGAGAGTAAGACGGAGAGCCCAGAATCAACCCTGGGCCTTAGCTGGCACTTCGCTTCAGACATGCTTGGCTATAAGCACCGTCCAGTCCAGTATGAGGCTCCTACCATGCGCATCATCTACAGAGTACTGGCCAGTCAGTACGATCCACTGGGGTTCATACTACCATACACCACCAGAGCTAAGATGTTAGTCAGACGTCTGTGGGATAAGGATCGGGGCTGGGACGACCCCCAGCTGCCACCTGACCTTCTTCAACAGTGGGATATCTGGGAACGGGAGCTGCAGTTCCTTCCTGAAATCCGTTTTCCCAGACCATACCTACCCACTGATGTAGCCTGGGAGGTCAAAGGAAGAGAGCTGCATGTGTTCTGTGATGCGTCAGAGCAGGCTTATGGTGCTGTGGCGTATCTTAGAATGATGGGAGAGAATGATCAAGCACATGTATCCTTTGTTATGGCTCGCTCCAGAGTAGCTCCCAAACGTTTGCACTCCATTCCAAGGCTGGAGCTATGTGCAGCGCTTGTGGGAGCTCAGCTTTCTAAGCTTATCGAGGGTGAGCTCTCTCTGCATATTGAGAAAACAGTGATGTGGACAGACTCTACCACGGTGCTCACCTGGCTGCGATCTGAATCCTGCCGCTTCAAAGTCTTTGTGGGCACACGCATTGCTGAAATCCAGGAGTTGACTCATCTGCAGAGTTGGCGCTATGTGGAATCTGCCCAAAATCCTGCTGATGACATAACACGTGGCAAAACACTGCAGGAGTTAGCAAGACCAAACCGATGGAGTCACGGTCCTCCCATCCTACATCTACCGAGAGATCAGTGGCCGAAAGACCCCACTGATAGCCTTCAAGTCTCCCCAGATGCATCTGAGCTTCGCAGATCAACCTTCTGTGCCATGACATCTGCCTTCCCTGCCTACATGAGTCAGTATGATACCTGGCAGGAGCTGCTGGATGCAACAGTACAGGAGCTTCATGGGGCGGCAAAGGACATTTGTCCCACTGCTGAGGACTACCGTCAAGCAGAGAGGCTTCTCATTAAGAGGGCTCAACAAGAGAGTTTCCCGGATGAATTTCACCTTCTGACAGCAGGGAAACCAGTTCAAAGAAGTAGTCGTCTTTTAACACTGTCTCCAGAGCTGGATGAAAGTGGAGAACTGATAAGAGTGGGTGGCCGTCTACGTCGTGCCGAGGACCTAACCTTCTGCAACCTTCACCCGCTGGTTCTAGATCCCTCTCATCCAGTGACCAAGCTGCTCATTCAGGACTGTGACCGTCGTCTACGGCATCCCGGACCAGAACGAGTTCTTGCACAACTGCGGCGCCATTATTGGATCCTAAAAGGCAGAGAAGCAATTCGGCGCTTCCAGAGGACCTGCGCAGATTGCCAAAGATGGAGGGCGAGACCTACTGTCCCTAAAATGGCTGACCTGCCTGTAGCTCGACTCCGCCTCTTCAAGCCAGCCTTCTTTTCCACTGGAACTGACTGCTTCGGTCCCTTTGAAGTTAAAGTAGGCCGCCGTTTGGAAAAGAGATGGGGGATAATATTTAAATGTATGACTGTCAGAGCCGTGCATCTGGATGTACTGACCTCCATCGACACAGACTCCTTTTTGATGGCTCTGCGTCGGTTTATTTCGCGAAGAGGGACACCAGCTGAGCTTTATTCAGACCAGGGCACAAATTTTAGAGGAGGTGATACTGAGCTGAGGGAAGCGTTTTCAGCCATGACATTGGAACTTCAGCAACTACTATCTCCACACAAGATCCAGTTCCACTTCAATCCTCCTGCAGCTCCGCACTTTGGAGGCGTGTGGGAGCGAGAAATCCGCTCTGTGAAGACAGCACTATATGCTACAGTCGGAGCTCAGCCCGTCACAGAAGAGGTCCTCCGTACAGTACTTGTGGAAGTAGAGGGGATCCTCAACTCAAAGCCGCTGGGCTATGTCTCATCCGATGTAAGAGATCCGGATCCTGTGACACCAAACTGCCTGCTTATGGGGCGGCGGGATGGTTCACTGCCACAGGTGGTTTACTCCAAAGATGAACTTCTGAGCCGTCGGCGGTGGAGGCATGCCCAAGTGCTCACTGACCATTTTTGGGCACGGTTTATTCGTCTATATCTACCTGGACTTCAGACCCGCCAGAAATGGCAAGCCTCTACAGATGACATCAGAGAAGGGACGGTTGTCATGATTGTGGATCCTCATCTGCCCAGGGCTCTCTGGCCCGTGGGTCACATCGTCAAGGTTCACCCCAGTCCTGATGGACACATCAGGTCAGCAGATGTGAAGATTAAGGACAGAACTTACACTCGACCTGTGGCTCGGCTGGTGATCCTCCCTGCCATACCTGATGAGGACAGTGACCCCCAGGCGCAAGGTCGCCCTATCTAGAGTCTTTTGTTTGAGCAAATGTATTGTACACATTTGGGGGCGGCTGTTCAAAAGACCCTTATATATAGTTTAAGTTTGGTGTTGAGTATTACTCTTTGTATTATGTGTTTTCTGTTCAGCGTTACTTTTGTCCCTTAAGGGATACCGTAGTTAGGGCAGTGATGACGTCAACACCTTGCTGTAGCCAACGTTGCTGGTATCTGGTGGAGAAGTTTGGGTAACCGAACCGCTGTGCTAACACGTGGGAAAGACCACAAGATATGTGTTCTCCTTAAGAGTGTGCGTCATTGATGAGAAACCACACACACACCTTCATGTAGACACATTTATGCCCATCCGTGTTCAGTGGATTATCTGTGATACAGTTTGGAATACAGAACAGTTAAAGGATCCTGCCTCGTGTCTTCATTAAACTCCTGGTGCACCTCATCCAAACATCTGGTCCTGAGCTGAATCCTGGCCTGAGTGGTGTTCTGGCCGACACTCCAGGTTGAGAGCGGTGACAAACCTGAACAGCGCCTAACAGTCCTTCAACTTTAGAACAAACTCACTTACAACCAAACTAAAAATGTAGCTGGCTCAGAAATAACTAGCCAGCTAAATATATAGTTAGCAGGTAAATGTAGCTTGCCGATAACCGGAAGTGGACTACCAAAATAAAAGCTGGGTCTTTGAACCTCTTTATAAACTCTTGGTTTCTTATTATGTCACCGCTTTATGAGCGTCTCTGTTCCTTTTGTCTTGAACAACTCAGCTTAAAACAAAAAAGGTCGCATTAAAGGCAATACAGACGTTTATCAACGGATCTGAGATGACTGACCCAGCTTTTACTTTGAAAGTCCACTTCCACCTATCGGCAGTACTAGCTAAATATTTAGCTCAGAGATGCTAAATATCTAGCTAGCTCAGAGATAAATAAAATATTTAGTATGAAGCTAAATATTAATTAGCTTGCTAGCTTAATATTTAGGTTGGAGCTGAACATTAAAACAGATCTTATACAGAGCTGATTGATCTGGTTTTTCAATCAGAACCGATCTGCTCATATCTGGAACATTTAGATGTTGAACCCATTTTGTGCTGGTTGGTCCAGAACCGTAGTGGGTTCTGCTGTTAGGGCTGGCTGATCTGGAAAAGTCTGTCAGTGGTCATAATGTTCTGACTAATCTGAACTTGTCATGTTTTGCTCATTCGTGATGTTTAGTGGCAGATCATAATCAGAGCATCTCAGGACAGATCATGTTTCATTTGTTAAATCTGCATTTTCTCTTTCTGAGTCAGAATATTAATATTAAAGTTGTGTGAAAATTTCTCTCCTATCATCATATGAACTGTTGGGAAAGAATCTAATTAGAGTTGGAAGAAAAATCTGTAATTAATCTGTTATTGGCCCTGAAGCAGTTTGTTGTTCTCATAAAGTTTCTCCTCCTAAAAGGAATAAAAAACCTTCATCATGTTGGCTCAGAAATGCAGATTCAAAACGAATAAAGACTCAAATCTCATCCGCAGTTGGTTCTGCTCTCCTGCTGTTGATGTCTCCAAACAAATGAGCTCAAATTTATCAGCTGCAGCTAGCTCAGGTAGCATTAGCAGTTAGCACAAAGATAAACTGATGTGTGATGAAGGTCAACTCTGATGTTTCTTCTTCTTTTGTTATATTTGAAAACAAACAGACAAGATGGCAGCGTTACCATGGAAACTGATGTATTGTTGGCAGCTGGTCATCGGACTAAAGTGGTCCAATCAGGAACGTTGGGGCCAGCTCCAGTGCAGACAGGACAGAGACAGGTGCATTATGGGAAGATGTAACGGTCAGGAAGACGAGAATGCAGAACAGAGGAACCGGCAGCGACAACCAAAACAACGAAACCACACAGGAAGCAGAACGAGAAAATAAGAGAAACATCTGATTACTGCAGCTTGAAGGTCTAGAAACCTCCAGCTGCCAAACGAAATGTCACAAAGCAGAGCGAGATTTCGTCAGATGTTGATGCTGCGCATGGCTGTAATAAACAGGAAGTAGAGGAAGCGAACTGAACCAGAGACTTCCTCCCTCCGCGCTGGAGGTTCGGTGCCTCTGGTACGGCACTGACCCAGCAGTGGATGGGACGGTTTGCTACGTCAGGACTTATTCAGGAAATGTGTTTCCATCGACTCTTTTTCAGAAACGCCAGAAACCATCTAAAGGATAGAAACGTTTTTGCGAACTTGGGAAAATTATTTTGAATTTTTCCGTTTCCATCAACCTTTTCTAATGTGCACGGCTACTGAGCGGGAATGAAGTCCTTCACAAAGTAAAGCAACAGAAAACCTGTGCTGCTGTTTACAGGCTAAGCCGCGATGCGTTCAATGGATGACCAAAAAACAGATTTTACAGCCATTTCCTCACTGCTACATTGCAGATAATGATGCTGAAAGGAAAGGCGGGAACTGAAACTGTTGCGTTCTCTTTCCCATCCTCCATGTTTCCCATCATCAGGACATTTTTCCTCAGGAAGTCTTCCTGCTCAGTGGGACGTTCTCATCTGTGGATTCCATAATCTGACCAAAACAACTGAATATTCTGCTGTTTGGTTCGCAGAAACCAGATTATCCTGCTGAAAACTGCGACGAAGATGAATTATAAAGTGAAGTTTTCTGAACATCGATGCAGGAAAATCTTTGTTCTCACTGCGGCTGTGACCGCTTGGTGAACTTGCAGCCTGGATGACGAGCTTCAGGAAAAATAAGATGATTTCACACCTTTTGAATTTGTTTCCCATCTTTGAAGCTTGAAAGGAAAAGCCGTCTCCCCTCCGAGGTGAGGGTCTCGGCTCTTTCTGTCCTCCTTTCCTCACTTATTACACCTCTTATCTGCTTTTCCTTTTCCGTATTCTCTGCCGTCTCATTTCCTCTCGCTTCTTCTCCTCGACGCTCGCTGAGGAGCAGATGATGTAAAAACTCTTCCAGCCTCTGCAACAGCAGCCTGAGCCCAGTTTAGTTTTATGTCTAGACGTCTATTACTCACAGATTAGTGAGGAGAAAAAAGCTGCAGCAGTTTGTTGATTGGAGGTTTGTCTGCAGGAGATTCACGTCTGGGAGGAAAAACCTGGAAAAACGAAAACATCTTTAAACTTCTGTGGGTCCAGCGAGCGTCAGGCTGCAGGGAGCCGCGCGTAAAGCTACACAGGAAAATATTACAGCAACATTTTGGTTTATTTAGCTGGAAACAATTGGAGGCTCATTTTTTCACTGGGGATTTAGACCACAGATTAAATATTTAAATCGCAACTAAATGTTTAAATCTTATAGTTTACAAACTAAATATTTAGTTCCAACTCAAAATAAATGAAATGTTCAGATATTTAGCTTGCTAGCTAAGTGCTTAGCTAGCAAGCTAAATATATCTAGTTAGAAATTAACTAAATATTTGGTAAGTAGATATTTAGTTAATATGCAAATTCATTAGGTGATATGCGGAAGTGGAATATCAAAATAAAAGCTGGTTTTATGAACCTCTACATGCTGCTGGCTGAATCAGCTTCACAGTGAATCGATGTGAACGACTGAAGACGTTCGGTTTCGCCAACAGCTGCAGATTATTTACACAGCTTTTATTTTGATAGTCCACTTCCTCTTTCAACCAGTGAATTTGCATATCAGCTAAGTATTTAGCTTATATACAATATATAGATGTATTTTATATTTAGCTTGCACCTGAATATTTAGTTGGCATCTAACTCTGGCTAACAAGCTAAATATTTAGTTAGCACACTAGCTACACTGTTAGCTAAATTGTTAGCTTGCTACATAAACACTTAGGTAGCAAGCTAAATATTCTGATTGGAAAATAAATATTAACTTCTTAACTGAATATTCTATTTTATATTTATTGTGCCAGCTAAGTATTTAGCTTGTGAATTAATTATTTAGTTGGAACTGATGTATATAAATGTATAAATAACATGTTGACCCATTTTTTCTCCGGCTGGCTAAATAAACCATGTCATTGGTGTGAATGTTTTCCGCTCCGATGAAAACAGGTTGCTGTCGGAGCAGAGGCCCAGACGGCTTCATGCTTTATTGTTCTCTGGGTGTAAAGCTCTCTTCTTCTTCTGTTGCTGCTGAGACGCTTTCTCTGAACTATTAGGAGTTTCTAAAGCCGGCTAAGCTCTTAAGCTGCTCTGATAGTTTTGTCACCTTGGTTTCCTCGCCGTTTCCTCCTCTAATTCCCTTTTCATCCTCCGGTGTCTGTGCTGCTCACTGAGACGCTGCTGCTGCTGGGAGTCGGGACAGAGCTGCTTCCTACATGCTGAACGCTACTTTATATCCTTCTACTGTTCAGAACAGGCTGACTGTGAGAAGGTGATTGTTTTGTTCTGACTCCCCCTCCAGTGTCTGCAGGGTCACAGCTCCCTGGCTGCACAGTAAGCTAACATTAAAGAGCTTTTTATGAAAACGTTTTATTTTAAAGCCAAACTGGGTCGTTTTTTCTTCTGCAGCTTCAGTCTCACCATTACTGAACTGCTTTACGCTGCGTTCCCACCAGCCCTGTTCGCTCCGCTTTAATCCAACCCCAGATTGCTTTGACCCGCTCTGTTTGCCTAGTCAAAGTCCGGTTCAGTTGGTGAGGTGTGAATGTTAATTGACCTCTGACCTCTGGTCCTCCAAGCCTCGGTCTGGGTTCGGTTCAGTTCACTCTGGTCTGATATGTAAACACCAAGCGGACCAGAAGCAGGAAGTGGACTACAGCGCAGGGCATTCTGGGTAAATACAACCAAAGCTAACGTGTTAGCCTAGCGCTAGCAGCAGAAATGGCTCCTGGTCTTTAGCCTAAAGAGAAATCCTCCAACACTAAAATCTGACGCCTCCATCTTGTTTCCATCTGGTGAGGAAGGAAGTTGCTCTCAGCGTCTTCAGAGGTTTTTGTGTCGTTTCCTTCAGTGGTTCTTGGTGCAGCGCCCCCACAGGCCAGGAGGGGAACAGGTTGGTTTGGCTCAGAGCCACAGCAGCTGGAGGTGGAGCAGATGATGGAGTTCTGATCCAGACCATCAGGTGTGAAAACAGTTTCTCTGCCTGATGTTTTCTCTGAACTTTTTTCCTCAGCTTTTAAGCTAATCTGCAGTAAATCGTCTGCAGCTGCATTCACACAAATTCTCCACCATCTTTTCCTCGCTGCAGCAGGATTTACTGTCACAGGAAACAGGAAGTCAATATTTCTCAGTCTGAGTTCTTAAAAACCTCCTCCTGCTGCCAGCAGGACCTTAATGGCTTCAGTCAGCAGCTGTTTGGTTTCTGACGCAGCTAAACGAGGTCTGATCATCATCCTGCAGCCGCCGCGTTTACATCGGCCATAAAAACGTTCAGCTAATTGGATCATGGAAATAAATTGGAGGCTATTTAGAAAAACTCACATTTTTCTAGAATGTTTTTCTGCGATGAATTGGTTCTTTATGTATTTTACTAAACTTGGCCGCCTCTTTAGGAAACAAAACACAAAGGACTGAAGGATGCAGCGAGAATAAAACTGTTTAAGGTTAAAAGCAACAGTTTTACCGTTTCCAGTGATAA